GACCCTCCTTTGAATTGTGTTAATAATCTTGAGATATATATTCGGAGCACCAAATCAAATATGGTAGCAATATTCAATACAGCACGAAGGTCGTATTTAAAAATGTATAAGGTGGAGAAATGGATAGCGGCTCGGACTGAGGAATCGGAGAGCCGAGTTCGAATTCCAGTCGAATCCATTGCGTTCACTTACGTGCTATATATCCTTGGGGAAGGTATAAATTTTTCTAATAGCAGCGCATCATCTGTTGTTAGCAGCTGAGGCATAATTCTTTGGACGCCGATCCAAGTTCTCCCGAGAACAGACGGATACCATATACAATAATAAGATGATGATTATAATGATAGAATTAAAAGAGAAATGACCCGGCTTTCGGAATTAAAATAGATAAAACTTTAGAAACTCTGAAAATATCAGTGATTTTATTTTTTATTCTAAATGTTGATACGTAAATTATCTATCAATCTATCTCAGTCTGTTTCTATCTATCTCAGTCTCTTCATATCTATCTATCTATCTATCTATCTATCTATCTATCTATCTATCTATCTCAATCTCTTCATATCTATCTATCTATCTATCTATCTATCTATCTATCTATCTATCTATCTCAATCTATTCATATCTATCTATCTATCTATCTATCTATCTATCTATCTATCTCAATCTCTTCATATCTATCTATCTATCTATCTATCTATCTATCTCAATCTCTTCATATCTATCTATCTATCTATCTATCTATCTATCTATCTATCTATCTGTCTCAATCTCTTCATATCTATCAATCTATCTATCTGTCTATCTATCTCAGTCTCTTCGGAATTATCTATCTATCTATCTAATTAGATAATTAAGATTAAAATATGAATTAATTAATTAATTAAATAAGCTTTATGAAGCATTTTATTCTAGAATTCAATTTAAATTTTAATTACAATTAGCCGAAAGTCCTTCAGCTCATTTGGGGCGGGACCTCTAGTTTCTTCTTGAAAATTAGTCCTGGGTATGACGGCAGCTCTTTGTCTCAAGGTCCTTGATAAAATCCAAAGACGGATATGCAATGTAATTGGCCCTGATCTGGTATCTCGTCTGCAGTCGTTCTCTCACAGACGTGACGTCGCCTTTCTCTTTCTTTTTCCTACAAATACTTTCATGATAACTGCTCCGATGAGCTGCATTCGCTGGTTCCCAGACTTCATGAATTTAAGCGTTCAACTAGGCTGGCATCCCGCTCCCACCCTTTCACTGTCGAAAGTATTAAATGTAGCCGTCTCTTCTACTCCAATAGCTTTATTTCTCGCACTTCTCGCCTGTGGAACTCCTTCCCCATTCCTTGTTTTCCTGGTAGCTATAATCTCCAACTGTTCAAATCTAATGACAATCGACAGATGCCTTGATCTATCCCCTAACCTTCTCTTTATCCTTTCCTCTATCACTCCTCTTTGCTCTCACTCCAACTCTCTGTAACCCCTTGCGTGCTAGTGGCTTCCTACCTTGCTTGGGGTGGAATGCTTAAAACAAAAGTCCTGTGATTGGATGTTTTAAGGAACGTGGAACCACCTGTTAATTGTTGTTGTTCACAGGTCCACCGTGACCCGGGTTAGTAGCACTTCTTAGGGTCCCAGATATGGGGAAATTGTGAACCCTCCCACAAATAAAAACAAAGCACTATGATGGTATAAAATATATTTATAGTAAAAATACCAGCAATACATTTTTATATAAAAAGAAATTACCAACAATATATTTTATAGCAAAATGACCAACAATGCATTTTATCTGTAACTGAAGGCATACAATTGCGTTAAAAATACATTTAGTTGAAGTCATAAAATTGTGGTCAAAATATTTAAATTTCGGCATTAAATAACACATATAGGTGTTGATATGCCGCTAAACAAAATCAACCAAACAAACAACAAACATGAAAGAACTCTTTCATGACATGTCATGATTTATAGCAAAATGTCAACAATATCTATTTATAGCAAAATGACCAAAGATATATTAAAATTTTGAAGTGTCATATAGGAAAAAAAAATGAGTAGCTACCGGCACTGAGGTTCGAGCGTGACACGCTGGACTTAGGAATATATGTTTTCAGTCAGGTGTATAAAAAGCGGTGTCAGGCTACTGACTGCAGTGATTATTGAGTGGAACTATCCAGTCGAATTAGTGTGAATTATTGTGCGTTGATGATTTGGGTTTTGATTTAGGATTTACCGGACGTTAAGCCGAGCCGCGCTACTAACAAAGTATTCACTGAAATGATTAATTATCTTTGGTTGACTTTTACTTCTTTGTTCTTGTTAAGTATTTACATTGTAATTAAATACTTTTTTTTATCTTAACATTGAAGTCATCCGTAAAACTTAATCATTAGCGGCCACCCTACGTCACAAAATGAAGGAATACAATTGCGTTCAAAATATTCAAATATATAGATAGATAGATATGAACACACTGAGATAGATAGATAGATAGATAGATAGATAGATAGCACATAATATACAGCTAAAGAAAATATCGCCCGCAATGGCTCGATGATCTCAACTACGGTCGACGTGAATGGATAGAATGCAGTAAACCCAACTGGAAATTGAATTCGTCTCCCCAGTTTCTCATTCCGGGCCAATATTCATTAAACCCCGGCCCAATACTTGAGCGCTATCTATCTATCTATCTATCTATCTATCTATCTATCTATCTATCTATCTATCTATCTCAGTCTTTTCATATCTATCTATCTATCTATCTATCTATCTATCTATCTATCTATCTATCTCAGTTTTTTCATATCTATCTCAGCTTAAATCTATCTATCTATCTATCTATCTATCTATTTATCTATCTATCTATCTATCTCGGTCTTTTCATATCTATCTATCTATCTATCTATCTATCTATCTATCTATCTATCTATCTATCTCAGTCTTTTCATATCTATCTCAGTTTTATCTATCTATCTATCTATCTATCTATCTATCTATCTATCTATCTATCTATCTCAGTCTTTTCATATCTATCTATCTATCTATCTATCTATCTATCTATCTATCTATCTATCTCAGTTTTTTCATATCTATCTCAGCTTAAATCTATCTATCTATCTATCTATCTATCTATCTATCTATCTCGGTCTTTTCATATCTATCTATCTATCTATCTATCTATCTATCTATCTATCTATCTATCTCAGTCTTTTCATATCTATCTCAGTTTCTATCTATCTATCTATCTATCTATCTATCTATCTATCTATCTATCTATCTATCTATCTATCTCAGTCTTTTCATATCTATCTCAGTTACTATCTATCTATCTATCTATCTATCTATCTATCTATCTATCTGAATTCAAAAACTCTATGTAGCCCTGGTATAGAACATACTATACAGCTAAAAAAACAAGGGATCGTCCGCATTGGCTCGATGATCCCGACTACGGTTTGACTGATGATGGTAAATACGACGTGGATGAAAAATCCAATCTGTATTCATATAAACACGATCAGGCCACTGTGAAATTCGACTGACGGCAACGTTAAAAGGGGTACATATTTCTATAGCTTTTTCCTCCCACCCAGCTATGGATAAATGGGTAAATAGCAGACTGGGTTCTATAACCTTGGGTGGCAACTGGTCTAGGAGAAAGTAACTGAAGTCAAAAACTGTATGTAGCCCTGGTGTAGCACATAATATACAGCTAAATAAAGGAGCGTTCGCATTGGCTCGATGATTCCAACTACGGTCGACGTGAATGGATAGGATCTAGTGGACCCAGCTGGAATTCGAATTCGTCTCCCCAGTTTCTCATCCTGGGAAGATATTCGTTATACCCCGGCCCCATATTTGAGCTCTATCTATCTGAATTCAAAAAGTTATGTAACTCTGGTATAGCACATACTATATAGCTACAGAAAGTATCGTGCTCATTGGCTCGATGATCTATCTATCTCAGTCTTTTCATATCGATCTATCTATCTCAGTCTTTTCATATCTATCTATCTCAGTCTTTTCATAATAATCTATCTATTTATCTCAGTCTTTTCATCTCTATCTATATAAGTCTTTTCATATCTATCTCAGTCTATTCATATCTATCTATACCAGTCTCTTCATATCTATCTATCTATCTATCTATCTATCTATCTATCTATCTATCTATCTATCTATCTATCTATCTGAAGTCAAAAACTGTATGTAGCCCTGGTGTAGCACATACTATACAGCTAAATAAAGGAGCGTTCGTATTGGCTCGATGATTCCAACTACGGTCGACGTGAATGGATAGGATCTAGTGGACCCAGCTGGAATTCAAATTCGTCTCCCCAGTTTCTCATCCTGGGAAGATATTCGTTATACCCCGGCCCCATATTTGAGCGCTAGTTGAGTGAATGCAGCGTAATGTTTACTGATCAGAAATGATGCGAGCGGAGAGATAATTATCTTCGCTTTACCTAGGTGTTGAGTCATTTGTGAACCGTGAAGGTGACAGTCATTCCAGTCGTTCGCGGAGAACCTGGAACAGTACAGAAGCGCATTAGTGAGAGTATATAGAATAATATAGGGAGAGATGAAGAACCGAGAAAATGTATTATCACTTAATATCCAAGCTTAACGAATGGCTTCAGTTGATGTGTGGAGTTAATTTGTGAAATAATAATAGTCATATTAATTGTAGCCATCGGTCTGTTGCTGCTATGACTTCTTGAAGAAATGGATGTCTATTTAAGCGTGAAATTCGTTTCCTGCCTGGTAAAGTAGCTTGAAATCATTTGATGGTGAAAACCAATTGTAGAAACAAAGATGCAACGACACTTACAACAACGACAACACTACTAGTAATACTACTACTGCTACTGCTGCTACTACTACTACTACTACTACTACTAATAATAATAATAATACCAATGTGAAAAAAGAAGAGGAAGTGGAAGATGAATAAGGTGTAAAAGAAAAGGCATGCGGAAAAAAAGAAAAAGATAATGGTGAAGATTAAAGTAAAGAAAGATGGAGGTAAAGAAAAAGAAGAGGAAGGCGAAAGAGAACAGAGAAAAGAAGAAGAAAAAGTACTGACGCAGAAAAGAAAGTTAGTAAGGAAGGAGAAGGAGAGAGAGGAAGGAGGAAAGGAGTGGGAGGCAACGAAGGAGAAAAGAAGTTTGATAAAGAAGGAAAAAGTATATGAAAATTAAGCTGAAGAAGAGTCGAAGGAGGGAAAGAATTTGAGGAAAAAGAAGAAGAGTAGGAGGAGGAGGAGGAAGAAGAAGAAGAAGAAGAAGAAGAAGAAGAAGAAGAAGAAGAAGATTGGACACAGTCTTTAGAAAAACCGATGAAGGAGGAAGAGATGAAGGAAGGATGAAGGAAAAGAAGTTGATGAAGAAGGAAACGAAGAAAAAAATGAAGCTGGAATTGAAACGAAAAGATGATGAAAAAGCGGTGGAGGAAGGAGAGAAGGACGAAATTTATAATAATAATAATAATAATAATAATAATGATAGAAATACCTTCCACATAATGGTAAGACATTAGCTCGATAAAGACACCATTGCCACTAATGCCATTATATGTGAGGAATTTCTGGAAGATGTTTAAAGATTGTCGTGGGTCGTATAAACACCAAGGAGGAACACGATAGGGAGGAAAAAATATTGGGAATTACAAAAAAATCTATCTATCTATCTATCTATCTATCTATCTATCTATCTATCTATCTATCTATCTATCTATCTAAGTCTCTTCATATCTATCTATCTATCTATCTATCTATCTATCTATCTATCTATGTCAGTGTCTTCATATCTATCTATCTATCTATCTATCTATCTATCTATCTATCTATCTATCTATCTATCTCAGTGTCTTCGTATCTATCTATCTATCTATCTATCTCAGTCTCTTCATATCTATCTCTCTGTCTATGTCAGTGTCTTCATATCTATCTATCTATCTATCTATCTATCTATCTATCTATCTTTCTATCTATCTATCTATCTATCTATCTATCTATCTATCTATCTGTGTCTTCGTATCTATCTATCTATCTATCTATCTAGCAGTGTCTTCATATCTATCTATCTATCTATCTATCTATCTATCTATCTATCTATCTATCTATCTATCTATCTATCTATGTAGTACATTTTCCTTGTATATCTATCTATCTATCTATCTATCTATCTATCTATCTATCTAGCAGTTTCTTCATTATCTATCTATCTATCTATCTATCTATCTATCTATCTATCTATCTATCTATCTATCTATCTGTCAGACTGTTCATATCTATTTTAATGCTTCCCATTCATTCTGGAATGCACGTACAAATCTCATACCAAATGCTCTTAAAACTGTCTACTTCTAAAATATGAAATATCCTAATACGAAAAAAAAAATATCCATGTAAGTGTATGGAAGCTCGTCCTATAACGGAAAGACGCCTACGCAAACGCACATTCGCGTACACGCGCGATATTTGGAATTGTGATTTCATTCTGAATATAAACCATGCAAGCGAATGATCCTACGCACATGTTTCTAATATTCCTTTTTTTTCCTGTGGGTAGGTTGACGAGCATTTCCCTTTACGTTGTATATCCTTAATATCATCTTCAGAGAAGCAAAAGATGCAAGATCTACATTCTTGGTACGTTTTCCTTCAGCATAGCACATAGGATAATTTTAGTGCACGTACGCGGACGTGCGGCCTCAAATTTCTTCTGGGGCATTCGCATGCTTACGTCTACAGTGTTTTATACACTTTATAGACTTATAATATATATACAGGTTGTCCCCAAAATGTATACACACTATTCCAGGTGATAATTCACTTATCTTGAGAAAGGACTATCTCTTTTAGGAAAGGTGATATTTGAAAAAAATCCGGATTGTGGGTTTATATTTTTGTAAGATTTAATAGTGGCACTCTCAAGAATTATCATGTTATTTTCTGTTTTAATTACTGTGACATTCTTTACATCAATGTTGTCGTTAAACCTATTTCTGTGGATGAATAATGCTTTTAATAAATCATTTTGTGTACATATATTCATTTTTTTCCAGAAAACTCTGCAAGTTTCCCCAAATATATTGTACGTAACAGCTTCAAAATTATTAATGTTCTGGATAAGTTGGTTCTGGTCATATCCATAATATTTTTGGATGTGTTTATGATTACTTTGTTATTGTGAGGATTGGATAAATTATTTTGAATAGTAAATGTTAAGGAGTTAGTAGATAATGGTATATGCCTGTTACACATACACACACACATACACACACGCGTATATATATAAATTTAAAGTTATGTTTGGTGGTACAAAATTTTATCACTGATATGAACAGACAAAAATTAGTTTTATTATTACCATTCATGATAATAAAAAGTAAAAATGAAAAACGGACTAGCTAACCGGTTTCGTACCTCGCTCAACAGAACTAAATCGAGGTAAATTATATAATAAGAAAAAGGACAATGAACAAAGTTTATTGGTAGGGAAAAAATTTAAATGGTTATTAGTTGGATGCCTAATATAAAGTCCTTCTGTTTACAAAGAGAGGGCTTTAAAGATAGAATATAGATGGCCTCCAACACTTTTAGGTCTTAATTTGAGTGGTACTTGCTAAGGATTGTAAAAGCGTCCGCACTAAAACTAACTGCATAATTATGGCTATTTATAAGGTCTTCTGCGATTGAAGACCCATACGTATTAGTCAGAATGTCCGAGGGTGTGTACTTCCGGTCTCGGATTTTCGCTGGAACGTGTTGTTTTATTTTAGCATCTAGCCTTTGCGTCGTTCTCCCTATGTAGTGCGAACCGCAACTACAATTAAAGGAATGAATTAGTGAACTATTATGGTGTGCTGGTATATATATATATATATATATATATATATATATATATATATATATATATCCCTCACCGAGCACGACTCGAGTTTCATGCAAAAATGCAATCTTCAGGTGCTGATTATAGACTGACCATTACGTAATTTAAATTTTAAAATAATATATATATATATATATATA